CAGCACAGAATTCTTCTCAAGTAAATTGTTCATTAAGTGCACAAAATAATTTAAGTGACAACACAAAGATTAACAAATCTGGTAAACAAGTCACATCTAACCCATGCATACTTATCAACTGAAAGATCATTTTAAAAGACATCAAAATATCTCTAATCAAAAGCAGAGTTTACCTTCCACTAAGACAGGTTAGTTTGACAAGCACTTGATACAGAAGTCACATCTTCTATGTAATTACCACAGGGTATGATCCTTGCCTTCAATTTCTGAACTGTTGATATGCTTTAAGAGCTTCTATGAACTGGACACCATTAATAATTCAAGTGAGTAATTTAATCATTGTTCCTTGACATTCAACAACAGCCACCTTCAGATGCAAAAGTCTTAAAATAAGTTTCTCCATACTACCAGGACTGGTACAACACGAAATGACTCCTTTGCCATTGACAGAAGTGTGTATATTTGGTGTTACTACTACAGCAAATGCTGATTTTGTGCCATAAACCATTGTAGGACTTCATGATTAAAACAGCATTAAAGCACAAAGGAAGAAGGCTCCTAATGCACTAGTACAGTAGTTCCCTGATCTACTAACTGTGAGTAACACTGGCTCCTTTCCATCCAGGGATAACAAGAACTTCAACTCCACACCAACTACAAAATGTAATTGCACTGAGATTTCCAATTCCACTGTAATTTGTGTCTTAACTTGGAATACTGCAGGGCAATAGTTAGACACAGTTTAATGCTGACAACTGTGCCATTTCTAAGTACCATCTCAAATGCACCAAGTGTGATGTGACTTAGCTTTCATGTACACCACTACTTTCACACAATGGTCAAGTTACACATGCAATTGCACTGTACTACTTTGAATCAGATCCTGCGGTGACTGGACCAATGTCTCAAGTCAACAACATTGGGTTTCTTGGATTTCTTCTCACTGGGAATTATTTTAAAGTTGATTCACTAGTTTCCAAAAGTCTGGTTTACTACTAGCCAAATTTTACTTCCAAGTCACATGAATAAAGTTCACTATGTAATTAAGTGAACCCTCATATGACAGATATAAGTTTAAATCCAACATGCATACAAGGCAGTACAGTGCTTCAATTAAAACGATAGACACATTTCAGTGATTCAGGCACCAAATCCATGCTCATTTTCCAGTACCTGCAGATACTTCATTTCTGATGGAGAGTTCCAAGAAAGTAGGAAAAAAGCAAAAGTGAAGATTACTAAAGTTCATGACATCAAGGTATTTTTACAGCTACAGAACTAAGCATCAAAACCCATTACTCTCTCCCCTTGCTAAAACACCTGAAAGAAACCCCACTTGCCTGCACAGCTTGCTCAATTTTTATCAGAAGATGTGAAGGAAAGTGACTGGCTTCCCACCCAACCTATTCCTCAGCTTTGGCTCTGTTTCATGACAGAGGAAATCTGCCTCCCTCTAACCTGCCTGTATCAGGTTGTAGCCACAGCCCAGGAGGGCTCTCTCAGTCTAGCCTCACCAGAGGAAGACTCCACTACCTTGGGCATCAGCCCCTCAAACCCCAAGGCATTCTACCTTATTTTTATTTACACATTGTCCTCACTGCCTACACCACACATCCTTAACAAACTTACCTCGGTAAGGAACACCATACCAACAGTACCTTGGAGGAGTAAGCATTAGGGGTTTAGGCAGCCTGAGTAACAAGTGTTAAGATTATCTAATTTGTGTATTGCGAGACTGAGTTATGTGATTAGAGCAACACTGTTAGATTGATGAAGTTTAACAGTGACACACAGGAAACAGTAATTTAGGAAGCACAGTTTCATGTCATATCAGCTACGCTGGCAGCAGTGAGGAGCAAAACTAAGCTACTGAGCTGATGACAAGCTATACAACACACAGTTTACCTTCTGTTATCCAGTAGAACAGGTGAAAAAATGGAAGAAAAACAATGTTACTGTTGAAGAATTCATAATCAACATTTCAAAGGCATATGCTCACTCTAGCTTAGAAGAAAATCTCATCCTACCTTCTTGCCAGCACCAACATTTGCCTTGGCTGTGCCCCTGACTTTCTTCATTCTGTTCTTACGCTCTTTTCGCTGCTTCCTGGAAGTCTTTTTCTTTTCATACAAGCCGTGCTATTAAAAACAATTGAAAGTTGCTTTTAACATTGTTTCTCTACTAACAACTTTTGAATTTAAGTTCTATGATTTCTGAAATGTTCAAATACAGTTTACATTTGAAATATTAACTAAACAGCAAGATCATTAACTAATGAATGATTCAACACAGAACATAAAGAGGCACATGGATCAGCTCCATTTCTTACGCTTATTTTAGACCTCTATTAGTGTTTTGTTAAAAGTTACTGCTAAACACCTCTGGTATTACCAGTTTTGCCTTCCCAATTCCCTAGTAATATAAAGTAAAAGCACACAGCCTATTTTGCCAATGCAGAAGTTCACATGTGCTATTTTAGGAGGTCTCATACAACTGTACTTTCACAAAACGTGAGTTTTTACAAACGCAAATCCTGCTTTCAAGACACCAGAAAACAACATACCCTGGCAAGCCTGTGCTTTGGTTCGTTTTTCTTTGCATAGTCCAGGGAATCATAGATCATGCCAAAACCAGTTGTCTTGCCACCACCAAAGTGAGTTCTGAAGCCAAAGACGAAAATTACATCAGGGGTTGTCTTGTACATTTTTGCCAGCTTTTCCCTGATTTCTGTTTTAGGGACTGTGGCCTTCCCAGGATGAAGAACATCAATCACCTAAGAAAGAATTTTAACAGGTTGATAAAAGGTCAATATCCAGTACACAGCCCCACCAGGTGCTACAGTCCCACCATGAGCTCAACATTTAAACTAACCCACCTTAGAAGCAAACAATTATTTGACACAAAAGCATTCAGAAGTTTCTTGCTTCACTAAGTCATTTAGACTGAAAAATACCTTTAAAATCATTAAATCCAATAGTAGACCCAATCCTGTCAAGTGTCTCAATGGCACTAAGCCATGTTCTCAAGTGCTACACCAACATGTCTTCTAAATACCTCCAGGGAGGATGACTTAACCACCTCCCAGGGCAGCCTACTCCAATGCTTAATAATCCTTTTGGTGCAGAAATTTTCCTCAACATCCATTCTCAAGCTGTACAACTTCACCATCAAGATTTATCTTGAGCATACATCAACACATTTAAACTCATATGCTCTTACAATTCCTTATTTAAGAACCCTGGAGATTTTAAGGCCTCATATTTATTGCAGCTAAACCTTCTTCCAGCTCAGAACCACCAAACAAATAAAGGCAGTTTTCTGTAGTCTTTTACCATCTGCTTGCGCTGCAGAAGTCTGTTGGTCATGAACTTCCTGGTTCTGATGGTCACTGTGTCATTCTGCAAAAGAAAACATTAAATAAAACAACAGCTACAAATGCAACACAAACTGAATACGAGCATAAACAATGCAGGGTACCACAACGGTCAGGAGCCTCAGATACTGACAGTGAGCTCACAACCTAAGTGGGCTGGTCTAAAGAAAACACCTTTAAGTAATGCAGTGAGAAACTGACAAACTTATCCCAAGTTTCCAAAGACCACAGCAACATACACATCTTCACGACCATGAAAAGCTGAAGCAGCTTTTCATAAAAGACACAGATCTCAATCTCAAGTACTCCAACAACACAACAGGAGCTTCCTTCTAAGCCCAAGTGTCACCACCTCTACAGCTTCCCACCTCTAAGGACAAAGGAGCACCCAATATTCCTGGATGCTCCTGGCTGAAAGGAAAAACAGGTCAGTGGGTCCAAAAGAGCTTACCAATTTTTTTCAGTAAATTACACACTTGGCATGGCACTGGGTGTGTTAGTATGCGACCCCAGAGTAAGGACATGGCAGTGGGTGGGGGGTGAAGGGCAGGGTGAAAGGGAAGTGAGGATACAGAAAAGAGTGACTGACCATGCACTGGAACAGTATAGAAGCTCTTCTTGACGTTCAGGTGAAATTTCCTGGGCACCAGTTTCTGCCCTTGCCTAGACTACTGCTGCCTGGCACCACTAAGCACAGCCTAGTAGCATCCTCTGATACCCTCCTTCAAACACTGCTAAGGTCGCCTTTCTGTCACCTCTTCTGGAGCTGAAGCTCTCTCAGCTTTTCCTCATAAGAGAAATGCTCCAGTCCCCCAGTCATCCTCACTGCCCTCCACTGGAACCGCTCCAGGAGCTTCATGTCTGTCCTGGACTGAGGAGCCCCAAACTGGACACTACGCTCCAGATACAGCCTCACCAGAGCTGAGAAAAGAGATCAGCTCCGTCGAGCTGCTGGCCACGCTCTTCCTAAAGCAAAGTGGAAGTTTCTCTGAAAAAATAGACTACCACGCTACTTCCACAAAGCTTTCCCACAGGAGCAGCCGCGACAAACGCGGGTGTGACCCACGGCAGCCGCGCAGAGCCGCAGCGCCGGGTGCCGCACTGTGAGATCGCGGGGCCGCTCTGGCCGAGCACGGACACGGCGCAGCCGAGCACACGGCGCGGCCTCACCCCGCAGCTCGCTGCTGCCAGCGGGCACGGACGCGGGGCGGCCCGGCCGCAGTAGCCCGGGCTCGGTGTCCGCCATACCCCCGCGGGCGGGTGCGGGCGGGCCGGACCGGCGGGACACGGCGGTGCGGGGGCGCGGCGGCGCCCGGATGGCGGCGGCGCGGGGCGGATGGCGGAGACCGGCCCGGGCACTCACCATGGCTGCGACCGCGGCTCCGGCGACCGGAAGAGAAAAGGATCGGCGCCACCCCGCGACCAATCATAAAGCGGCGCGGGGGCCCTTCCGGCAGGGGTGGAGTTGCGCGTGGGGCAGTCCTTTCCGGAGCCGGTCCCGGCTGGAAATAGCGGTGGGCGTGGCTGGTGTGTGTTTAATGAGACCCGGCGCGGAGGCGGCGACGTGCCGCCCCGGGCTGAGCTCAGCTCCGGGGGCGCCGGGCCCAGCCCAGCCCAGCCCAGCCCTTCAGGGAGACCGATGTGGCCAAGAAAATGTGAGTGGCGGTCGTGCGGTGCCCGCGGGCTGAGGCGGGGAGCAGCAGAATTGCGGGGGACAGAACAGCTGCAGCCGGAGCTGGGAGAGTGTTGGCGGGGAGGGCCGCGGTGGGCACTCGTGGCACGGCCGCTCCGCTTCTAGGAGCGCTGGCACGGGCTGGCTTCTCCCGCACGGGTGGCTGTGCCTGTGTCCAGCTGTGGGGATGCCCAGGAAGGTCGATACATTCCTCAGAAAAAAACACCAACTCGCCGTAAAGCAGCCTTATTTTATATAGCTGTTTAAAAATAACGTGTTTCAGCAATCCCTGAATCAACCTAGCCACTTTTATATTGTTTTTGAATACTTTGGGGTCCTGAGAAGGGCAGCGAAGCTGGTGAAGGAACACCACCAGCCCTAGGGGGAGCTGGGGTGTTCAGCTTGGAGAAGAGGAGGCTCAGGGGAGACCTTATGATTCTTCTAAAACTACTTGAAAGGACGCTGTAGCCAGCTGGGAATTGCTCCCAGGCAGCCAGTGACCGGATGAGAGGGTACTGCCTTAAGTTGTAGTAGGGAAGGTTTAGCTTGGACATCAGGGAGAACTTCTTCACAGAAGGGGTGGTTAGGCATTGAATGGTCTGCCCGGGGAGGTGGTGGAGTCACCGTCCCTGGAGGTGCTTAAGGAAAGCTCGGATGTGGCACTCAATGCCATGGTCTTAATTGACAGGGTGATGTTTGGTCTTAGGTTGAGTTCAGTAGTCTACGAGGGCTTTTTCAACCCAATTGGTTCTGTGCAATTGCATGTAGATGTGCTTGCCATTAGAAGTGGTTTTCTGTATATACATATATGTGTGCCCATACATACATCTGAAATTTCCTGTCCTAGAAGCCACATCTGTTTTGGCATGAAATCTCCAGAAGAGATGCGTCAGCAAGCTCACATTCAAGTGGTCAGCAAGAATTTGTATAGTCAGGACAACCATCACTCTCCACTGCAATATGGAGTGCTGGACCATCGCATGGTGAGAACCTTTCTTTTGTTTTCCAAACTCTTTCTGGGGAATTGCTGAAGTAGTTTAAAAAAAGGTTGGGGTCGCTGAAACATACTGTTTGTCCAAAGTAAGTTCAAATGATGCTTTGCTTGAATTTCATAGTGTATTAGCTGCACTGCCAGCTACTTTTTTCACACTTTTGGAGGGCAGGAATGCATTCTCTTGAGGCAGGAAATAAGTTACTTTTCTGCCAGACTGCTGGGACACCCAGAGACGTCACCAAAATGCGTAGATTAATGGGCTGTAAGTAATTTGCAAGAGCTGCCTGAGTCCAGTCATTGGTGTCAGCAGGGGCTGTGTGTAAAAGCCATTTTGCTTATGGGTCAGAGTGACTGTTATGCTGATGTATTGATGTGCTTCTGATGATGGGGAAAAGGAGTGGCTCTGCTACTAGGATTCCTGACTAGCTTATGGACTGTTGTATTTTGTATCTATCCCATCAGTTACAGCTAACTTTTTTTCTCTCTGTGTGTGTTCCTTTTCTTCTGAAGGGAACCAGTGAAAAAGACCGTCCCTGTGAAACCTGTGGGAAAAGTCTGGCTGACTGTTTAGGGCATTATGGGTACATTGACTTAGAACTACCATGCTTTCACGTTGGGTACTTCAAAGCTGTGATAGGCATCTTACAGGTAAACATGATCATGACTTGTTGTCGGTTTCTAGTCTAAAGAAAGGCAATTTTCAGAAAAAAATATGTTTGAAATTAACTGAGAAGGCCAAAATAAGGTTGCATTATTAATCTTTGTGTGTATTTTCTTTTGTAAAATACATGTATTTAAAGACCAGTCTTAGTGATGTTCTGTGTAATCTCAGACCAAAAAATCTAATCTATTACTTTCCTGCAGTTTGAATTAAATATATGTAGAATAATTTGTCTTTCAGAATATCCAAGTAAATCAAAGCTCTGTTTGCTTTATATGAATTTTTAATGCTCTGCAGAGCTTTCAAGATTTGCCTCATTGACTGTATTTTTCTCATGTGCTTTTTAATGTGTATTCCAGTATGTGATTTCGTCTTCCAATCAAAAGAGTGGTATCTCATTCAAAAAAAATGCACTGTGTTGAAGAACTTAAGCTGTAGTTCAAGTGGTTACATCTCTGAATGTGTCTCTTAAACAACTGTGTTTATACATGTTTACCTTTAAGATGATCTGCAAAACCTGTTGCCGCATCATGCTGTCAGTGGAAGAAAAAAAGCAGTTTTTAGATTACCTAAAACGACCTGGCCTTACATATCTTCAGAAGAGAGGGCTAAAAAAGAAAGTGTCTGAGAAGTGCCGAAAGAAAAACACTTGTCCTTACTGTGGGGCCTTTAATGGTGAGTATTGACATGAGCAGTTTGTGAAGTTATCTGCTCTGGTGGTTTTCACCTTGATGGCTGTGATGGGAACAAAATCTTGAATATGCTCGTTCATTGCACAGCTCATGGCTGTTCTCTCTAGCCTTCATTTAGAAACAGGTAATTGCATTTTGAAGGACAGACACATGCTTGTTTGCCTCTCATGTGTGGATACAGACATTTTCCTAGTTGGTTTTCATGTTAGTAACCAATGTTTGATACTTGAATAATGACAAAAAACCCTTTTACATGTGTTTTTTAAAATATTAGGAGCTATTGGCAGTGATCAATAAGTTCATGTAGAAGCATTGGTAGCATTTGTAATTTTGAGTGAGCATAATTTTTCATCACTGAATTAAATTATATACCTTAAGATTATTCCTTCTTCAAGGCAGAGTATTTTTGTAAGATTTCGTATATGTGGTTTTCAAAATCTGGTCTTTTTTCACTTACACTGATCACATGTTACTGCTGTCTAAGGACTTGGTGTATTACAGATTCATAGTAGCTAGTTAATCCATAACTTAAAACTTCTAACTCATGAAAATTGTGAGTGCTTTGTTGAAATGTTCAACAGCTCAATAAAAGGAGGGTTGCTTTATCATACGTGCTCTGTCTACACATAGGGGGCATAGGAGTAGGCATTTAGAGGAGTTACATGATGGGTCAGAATACTTCAGTGAAACAAGCTGAGCATTTGGACTTGTCTGTGGAAGTTTCATCAGTCATGTTACCTGCATGACATGAAAATATTTATCAGATTTTTCTGATAATTCACTTCCAAAATTACTTCAGAAGATACTGGTAAGATACGTAAATGGCACTTCTTAGTCCTGTTTTAGTGTGGAAACTTCTACTTTAGAAATATCTGCTGTGAATGAGGTGAAGCTGAATTAAAGGTGTGGGCTAAACCACCTACTTTCAGCCTCAGAGGCTGCACCCTCATGTGGATACACCAAGCCATCCATATAAAAAGGTACAACTTGATTGTCCTGTTGTTGTTCTGACTTTAGGAACCTGGTTAATAAAGCTGATACATGTTAATTTATTATTGTGTTCACTGAAAGTTTAGTTTGTTTTGGAGCTGTAGCTTAAGTTTTGATGGTGTTTTGTGTTTTTGTTACTTTGAAATAAAATCCCAAGGCAATCCATATGTAATTCCTTGCAGGAACTGTGAAGAAATGTGGTTTGTTGAAGATAATACATGAAAAGTACAAGACAAATAAGAAAGTTGTGGATCCAATAGTATCTACTTTTCTCCAGTCCTTTGAAACTGCCATTGAATATAACAAAGAAGTAGAACCCTTACTGGGAAGAGCTCAGGTGAATTTTGTTATACTCTACGTTTTTTGCTGTTTTTTGTGCATGAAATAAAACTCCTTAAAGGGCTGCAATGTATCAGCTAAAGTCTTGTGATGATCCAAGAATTTTGTATATCAAAAGATACATGAAGAATGTTTATATCCAGTGCAATAATGTTAACTTTGTTAAAATGAGAAATCTAGTATATTAGCATGTTCTGGTACACCATTACGTGCCTGTAAAGAAATGAATGTTCTTGCTGGGTCGTGCTTCTGTAAAAAAAAAAAGCAACACAGGTCTGTATAAAGTTTCTATGTATATATAGGTTCAGTGTAACACCGGTATTAATTCCAATGCACGCATTTTTTTCTTCTTAAGAAGCTCTTAATATTGAGAAAGAAGGCCTAATTTGCTAACTTCTTGTTTCATTAGCTTTTCATTGTATGCAGTTCTGTTTCTTTCTGCTCTTAGCAAGCTGGAAAGATCTCCAGGTACATAGTTGGATAGAAAAGCAACACAGGTCCATATAAAGTTTCTATGTATATATAGGTTCAGTGTAACACCGGTATTAATTCCAATGCACGCATTTTTTTCTTCTTAAGAAGCTCTTAATATTGAGAAAGAGAGAGGAGGCCTAATTTGCTAACTTCTTGTTTCATTAGCTTTTCATTGTATGCAGTTCTGTTTCTTTCTGCTCTTAGCAAGCTGGAAAGATCTCCAGGTACATAGTTGGATAGAAAAAGTAGTGAACGCAGCAGTAGCTGTACTAAGACGAGAAATACCTAGGTAGTACTGTAATCATGTGATTTTTTGCTAATAAAATGAATACAATGTACTGTAAGTTTGTTGTAGAATATTAATTGAGTTGCTTTCTCTGTTGACAAAGAAATACTCTCCATTAACTCTTGAGACAAGCGAGCAACATGCCAAGAAGTATGAGCAACATGCCAGGAAGTAAATATGCATATATATGGAAAAACTGGAAGGAAAGAACATATAGCAAGTTAACATTTGAGATGCTGAAAGCACTGGTTCAGAATACATAAAGCATTACTGGAAGGAAAGAACATATAGCAAACACATTTGAGATGCTGAAAGCACTGGTTCAGAATACATAAAGCATAGTTTTGTTTGTATGAATAGTTCTCTATTTGCTTTTGAAAAAGGCTATTTCTGAACATCAGTAAAATAAGGGGAGGAGGGAAGCATTGAAACTTGATGTGATGGCTTCTTCTCCCCATGTTCCCAATGGATTTTGTAGGAAAACTTGAATCCTTTGGTGGTATTGAACCTCTTTAAAAGAATCCCAGTGGAAGACATCCCTCTACTTCTAATGAACCCACAAGCAGGTAAACCTTCAGATTTGATCCTCACACGACTCCTGGTGCCTCCACTGTGTATCAGACCCTCTGTTGTGAGCGATTTGAAGTCTGGCACCAATGAGGACGATTTGACAATGAAACTGACAGAGATCATTTTCCTCAATGATGTGATAAAAAAGGTTAGTCAGCCTTTGCCCTCTGAGACTATTGCCTTCAGAAGGATTTGTGTGGGATTGAATATAGCAAGTGGGTTTAGTGCTTACAGTCTGGTGCTGTATTTCTATGTTGCTGGGCATTTTACTGAAAGATAGGGGATGCTTACTTGAGATGGAACTGGCTGACTGGCTGCTTGCAGTGTAGCACCTGCTGAAGGTCTGCTGGGATTCTTATGGGAAATGTTTTTTCATTTCAGCTCTGGTCTGTTAACTCTTTTTAAATTTTTCTTTTTTTTTTCCCCTCTCCCATGACTGTCACACTTTTTGCGTAGTTACTTAAAATGAAAATATTACACCTATTGATTTGTTTCCTTGTAGACCTTCCTCTTTTTTTACATCCTCTTTTTTTACATCTTTATGCTTTATTTGTTCCACCATCTGTTCTTGAGAAATCAGGTTTCATTAAGCATTGCCATCAAACTGAGACTAAAAGATGATTTGACATTTTATCATCTTCTCTTAGAAGAGCACATCTACCAGAATAATACTTTTCACACTTTTCAAAACTGTTCCTTTGTCAAGCACAGAAAATGAATTGAGTACTAACTCTTCCATGATTGAAAAACTATTAACTACTGATTTTCCTGTCAGTTAAGTTATATTATCTTAAGTGGTTTGGGAAAAATGTGATTTAAAAAAATACCTGATTTTGTGGGCATTCGTTCAAAGCCCATATTAGTCAAAAGATTTTTTTTTTTTTTTTGCTGGGTTCCCTTGTGTTGTGCCTTATGCTATAGTAATATGCATCATCCTACCAAGTTATTTTCCCGTTTTCATTCCAGTTGATGGAAGTTTCATGATATTTGCAAAGGAAGAGTTACACTCATAACAGAAAAATTCTAGTTTAATACATGTTGTTATATTTATTTTCTGAATTGGATTACTGTTTTGTTTAGCATAGGATATCAGGAGCCAAAACACAGATGATTATGGAAGACTGGGATTTTCTTCAACTGCAGTGTGCCCTGTACATTAACAGTGAGCTCTCTGGCATACCCCTCAACATGGCACCTAAAAAATGGACCAGAGGTTTTGTTCAGAGACTTAAGGGAAAGCAAGGTTTGTCTAAAAAATTGCTTTTAATTTTTTTTTTAATTGAACTACAAATCTTTGCTATTGCCAAGTCTCCTTCTGCTACTGCTGTGATGCACCTCAGTGCTGTACCTTAAAAGATGTTCTAATGTACTGCCTTAGTACATAACATTTTGAAAACTATTTTTATGTAAAGAGTTTTAACTGTTTTGTTTTGTTAGGTCGGTTTAGAGGCAATCTGTCTGGAAAGAGAGTGGATTTTTCTGGCAGAACAGTCATTTCACCTGATCCTAACTTAAGAATAGATGAAGTAGCAGTGCCTATTCATGTTGCTAAAATATTGACCTTTCCTGAAAAGGTAAGTAGTGTAGGACTCAAAAACTTTCTATTCCTTTTCTTTTCCCAAGTCAGACCTCAGTGTTGTTTCTTTACTTACTCTGAAAGGGAATGAATGTACTGCATTGTCATTGATGCTTTCCCAGTTCTCTTGCTGCTGGCAAATGAAGATCTGTAGTATTGGATATAGGCAAGTGCTGACAAGATGTGGTGTAAGGAGTGACATCTCTAGAACTAAGAGTTCTGCTTCATGTTTTTTCAATTCATTCATAGGTTTGTATAAAGGAGTGGTTGGGTACTTCGATTTCTAAGTTTCCCTCTCAGATTTTTAATTTAATTTCCCTCTGATATTCTGCTGTAAGATAGGCTGATGTTTTTCTCCTGTGTTCCTTCCTGCAAGTTCCCCTCAGCAGCTGGATGCTGTGTAAGGGGATTGTCAGTTGAGCCTAAAATTAGAGAACACAAAAGCCACCACTAAAAACAAAATCCTGAAACATGTTCTGCTTGTTTCTGATTGAAGTCTTTATGCAACAGGTGAACAAAGCAAATATTAATTTTATGAGGAAACTTGTCTGTAATGGTCCTGATGTTCATCCTGGAGCAAACTTCATACAGCAAAGGCACACCCAAATGAAAAGGTATCATGCTTATCTGTAATGGTTCACTTTTTATTTCTCCCATCAACTTGTTCCTGTTTCTGTATGAAGGAAGTTTATCTGTGGGGATGAAAATATATTTTTAGAATCTTCCATGAAGAGCAGTAGAAAAAGAATTGTCTTTATGTTCTCAGGTTTATTGTATGCTTTTTTAAAATAGTCTCTTGCATTTAAACTGAAGTGCATATACTAATGATGTTGAACTGCATTTAGATTTATATTTTTATGACTGAGTCCATCTTAGCTGAAATGGAGGATGTAGTACAGACACGAGTGAAAACATGGTTTTGGGCAAGTCATACTGGCTGTTTTCATGTGAGAGCTAATCTCAAGTCAGTTTATATGTAGGAAGAAGGGGTAATACGTGAGTGAAACTTCCCTGATACAATTGAAATAAATCCTGTGTATTAACAAATGGACTTTTTTCTTAATTAATATTCTAATCACTGTAGCATATACATTCATTGCTTAAATGCATTCATTGCTTCAAATAGCAGTGAGTGATGTTCATTCCATGCCAGTTTCATCTTCTATTTATTGTAATACAAATACTCCAGCATTTAATGGAAAAGTTGGCATTATAAACATAGAATTAATTTTTAGTTGTCTTTCTGTTTAGTGTCTGTGTATCTTCTGACTGCATTATTATCTCTTCTATGGAGATTTTTGAAATATGGGAACCGAGAGAAGATGGCCCAGGAGCTGAAGTTTGGTGACATTGTGGAGCGACATCTGATAGATGGTGACATCGTCCTGTTCAACCGGCAGCCGTCTCTGCACAAGCTGAGCATCATGGCTCACATTGTGAGTGCACACAGGCTGGCACAGACAGTGCAGCCTGCGATACCAGGCTCTTGGCCTTGATGGTGTTTGTGTCTTACACAAGCAAAAATAAACAGCTCCTGCTGAAACGGTGTGTGGAGCGAATATGAAGGCAGTGCATTTGTGCCTGTGCATGGGAATTGATGTGCACCCAGGCAGGATGCTATATGCACACTTCTTCCAAGAGCCATAATTGACCTTGCTATTTCTTCTTGTGTGAGCACTTCATTTTTGTGGAATTAATGTGATCTCTATAAAGCATGTTGTCTTACGTGCTTTTTATAAATACTTCATAATGAAAATTATTAGCTACATTTCTATAATATAATGTGAATACAACTGTCATTTCCTGTTGAGTTAAATCCTATAATCAGGAATTTTTATTCATGTTTGTAATATAAAAAGGAAGCACTTGAGCATGGCTTTTTTTAGCCATGCTTGACTGTGTGTGCATAATTTTTTTTTCCTTTTCCAGGCTAGAGTAAAACCTCATAGGACGTTCAGGTTCAATGAATGTGTCTGTACACCATACAATGCAGACTTCGATGGAGATGAGATGAACCTTCACCTTCCTCAGACAGAAGAAGCAAAAGCAGAAGCACTTGTTTTAATGGGGGTGGGTAGATAAAATGCTCATGTTCGGATTTTGCTGGTGACAGATGGGCTGAGCCCTTTAGTTCTTAACTTGCATGTGGAATCTGAAATACTATTCAGGTTACTGGGTGTGGATAATTTACAACTTTAAAGCTGCCTGAAAACTCTGCAGAAGGGACTTCAGAATAAATTAGGACTTACACACTGGTAATCTAATATCTTTACGTTTTGGGAAAATGCAGTGTAGGTAGATGTCATCCCTATGCTTCTGCCTGACTGTCCTTAGAGATTGCTACCAGGCTAGCTAGTGGCTCTGTTACCAGCAGCTCCATCATCTGCTTCTGGTCTGATAGCCTGGGAATTGCAGACAGATGGACCAGCTGGAAATGAGATGGTGATACTGGGCTTGTACTGGAGAATGCAGCTTCCCTGAGAAGGCAGGAGGGAGTGGGCTCATAGAGCAGGGTCAAAAAGGGAGAAGGGAGGGTAGATAAATAGGGATCTGATGGTTGCAGGCTTTGATCTGTGGTGTGAGTCAGTAGCACCAAGCTGAGGGTTTGTTTACCAATCCATTGCTCCTTTAGGGTTACCCAATGCTACTCCTACTTCAGGTGTACCCATACAATTGTTGGCTGCAACCTGTTGGAGCTCACTGAACTGACTTGTGAGCTTAAAAAGAACACCCCCAGTGTGTGATTCAGGTTGATGTGGAAATGGGTTCAGGCAAAACTGCTCCATGGGGTGATCAACTGGAGCAGTAGTTTGAGTAAAACAAAAGATCGGGGGCCAGAGGTGGCTTGACTGTTACCCACCAGGAGGGATTACACAACTTGCAGTATCCCAGTTGATCCCCTTGTCCTTTCACCTGTTCTTAAAGCTAGCTTGTCTTCCCTTCCCTGTCCTACCAAAACACATCAAGTTGTTAGCCGCTTCTTTGGAAGCAGAATATGTAATTTCCAGTAACTTTTCTCAGACTATTACTTAGCCGTCAGTAGATGTGCATGGATGGAAGTGAACTGAAACTTCTGATTTCTTTTTTCCATCTTGTTGTAAACGATGCTGTAGTTCGATTCAGAATAAGCTTTGACCATTTCGCCATAAAATAAATGTCTTAAATGGTAGTTTCCATTTTGAATAGCCAAGGGTATATCAGTATCTTGAAATGCATAATATCTTTTTGTGTCATGCAGACTAAAGCAAACTTGGTAACACCTAGAAATGGAGAGCCTCTTATTGCTGCTATTCAAGATTTCCTCACAGGTGTGTGTGAGCTTATTTCAGAGCTGGGTGATCTAACAGTTGTTCCTACAGAATCACTTCCCTTTTTCAGATTTTTTCTGTATTAATTAAAAACTCTCCTTTCACAAGTCCAAGTGACATTATTAAATAAGGCCCTTGTTTTCTTGAAATACAATTATGACCTTAGAGTAATTCCTGATGCTGTCTACCTTTGTAGCTGCAGTTATTACTACCTTTGAGTGTATTTTGCTGTTTTCCTGCAAATGAGTGTTTGAGATCTTTCTCTGCATTCAGTAGATAGTGTAAACTGCTTGTGATTATGATAGAGGAGTTGATTTCACTCAATAACTATTAGCTTTAACCTACAGTATGTACCTTCAATGTCTTTAATTCTTTGGGAAATGTTCAATGAACATAAGGATGAAAGTGTACAAAAATAAATGCCAAGGCCTTATTTCACTGATGAAATAGAGTCTGAGATGAAGAGAGTAGGTTATAGAACTAGACTGTTTCCAAATTTTCAGGCATTTAGTGTGGAGCCATTAAAAGAAAATTCTGGAAAGAATTTACAACTAAAGCTGTCCAAACTATTGTTTTGCATAATAAGTAGCTGATTAGTATTGGAATGCCAATAATGATGCTGAGTATGCAATGGCTTTCAAATTGAATCTAAATTTAGTCTGTCATAATACTTTTTTCATTCCAGGTGCTTATGTTCTTACATTGAAAGATACCTTTTTTGATCGAGCCAAAGCCTGTCAAATTATTGCGTCTATCCTGGTTGGCAAGGATGAAAAGATCAAAGTTCGTCTTCCACCCCCAGCAATTCTGAAGGTGTGTCAAACTATTTTTTTAATGTTAATAAGACTTCCTCTATTGTGTGTTCTTGACCCATAGTGATGTTACATGAATCTTTAAACTCCTAAAGTTTTAAATCAAAGGTCCTTTATAAAGAAGTAATTATGAATGTTGCAGCGTCTTTCAGAAGTAAAATGATGGCAGCATCTTTGAGGTTTTTTGTCTTTTCTAGTCAGAAAGGGGAACATGACAGTAAGAGGGAGCAGTTGTGCACGTTTCTTTGAGTGTGTGCAATACCCTGTTGTAAAGGATAACCATTCAGCACCCAGGGGGTTCAAATCTATGAAAGAGGATGTTTTTCAAAGGAATGCTACTATGCGTTTCTACAAGTATGATTCTGTGTAGACATGCTCTGTCTATCAAGCAATTTTACAATTAAATGCTTGCTTACTCTTTTTTTGTAGTTGTAGCATAAACTTGTAATTGTTTTTTTTCTCCTTCTGTTTCTCTCAGCCTGTAACACTCTGGACAGGAAAACAGGTTTTCAGCCTCATTCTCAAACCCAGTGATGATTGTCCTGTAAAAGCCAACCTACGAACCAAGGGCAAACAGTATTGTGGCAAAGGGGAGGACCTGTGTTACAATGATTCTTGTGAGTGACACTTGTAAAGCCATGTTTTGGAAGTCTTCAAAGAAAACATAGAAATTATTGAGCTTACTGTAGGCGTAGAAGCAGTACTTTACATAAGTGTTCTTGAAATGAAAAATAAAATCTTGCTGTTTTTCTTGAGAGTTGAAGTCTGTTTTCTTAAACTAAAATGTTTTTTGTATGATGCTCAGTTTGTCATGATGCTAACTTATTGTTTGAAGGCGAGATAGAGGAAAATAAAGCTTAGGAAGTGGCTGTTCAGAGGGCAAGTGAAAAAATTTAGTCTCTTGACAGGGGGTACTAATGCAGGGATTAGAAGTCAAACACTGTAAGGAGTTAGAATATGCAGGGAAGATAAATCACTAGGGTATCAAACCATCCATGTCCTTCCAGTTAGGGATGTCAGTGCCAGATGGAATGCAAAGCACCATGGTTGAAAAGGCTGTAGGAGATGAGCAAGACTTAGAATTAATTTAACATTCGTGTGGTGACGGTTGGAAAGGAACTTGAGCAGGCAGGCTTAGGCTGGTTCCTTGCTGCTCACAAGTGTAAGGTGAGGAACCATTGATTTACAATAATTCTGTCATGCAATGTTGCCTCAAGAAAGAATTTTCCAATTAGCACTCAAGTCCTCTCTACAGATGACTGAGTGATTTCTGTAGTTGAAAGGAATACTCTGTGCTATGAAGTCGGTTGTGAACATGGTGGAACAATTTTTTTAAGCCTCTAAATATTGTAGAACAAAAGGCCACAAAGCAATCCTACTCACACTCCTGTGAACATAAGACACTGTCTTTATTTCACAGTCTCTTAATTTTAGAAAATACAGGAAGAGTCCATTTTCTGAGTTTAACAGCAGCACATGGTATTGAAAACTTGTAGATTTTGTTGTTGGCTGTATTCAGTTCTCTGAAAAAAATGCATTTCTGAAGATAGTGTAATTCTCTTCAGGAAGTTCTCTGCAAATTCTCAAAAGTCTCAAGAAAACCTGGATCATGTTTTGTTTTGATGTAATAAGTGATAGAGAAGTGACTTGTGCTTCAAGAAGGTGATACCTAAATTCACATTGAAAATACTGAGCATGGATAGAGCTTTTATTTAAAAATTATTTCTGTAAGTGATTACTAGTGGGTAGTGAATGTTTTAGAAAACTGGTGAATATTTTTTTTTGCCTTTTCATTTCTAGATGTAACAATTCAAAACAGTGAGTTAATGAGTGGCAGTATGGACAAAGGAACACTGGGGTCAGGATCCAAGAACAACATCTTCTACATCTTGCTGAGAGACTGGGGCCAGGTGGAAGCTGCAGATGCCATGTCACGTCTGGCCAGACTTGCTCCAGTCTATCTTTGTAAGTACATTTCCTTGTAAAATATACTTTAATGCAGAAATAGTGAGCAAGCAAGATTTTTGCTTCAAATATGACATGCTGTGCTTTTAAAAAAAGTAAGTTTGTTTTGAAGGTGGGAGACAGTGAAACTATTATTATTGTGGTTATGAAGTACTTGTGATGGTCACATGATGGGAGACAAAATTGCAAGTTCCCAGTAATATTTCCTGGGTTTAATTTGTTTTCTCTATATGAAATTGAACCATCAAAATTTATTTTCTTTTTAATAATAGCTAATCGTGGCTTTTCAATTGGAATTGGTGATGTAACCCCTGGGCAGGGCCTGCTAAAAGCTAAGTATGAGCTCCTAAATGCTGGATATAAGAAATGTGATGAGTATATTGAAGCTCTCAACACTGGCAAGCTACAGCAGCAGCCTGGTTGTACTGCAGAAGAGACACTAGAGGTAGGCTTCACAAATATATTTTTGTGCGTTGCAAAGTCTGCAGTTGTCTTCTGAAACCTAAAAATACAGGCAAATACAGTCCCTAGGCATGTAACTTGAGCTGAGTCTGTACAGGCTTAAGATGTTCGTATGCATCTAAAAATGTTAGTTTAACACAGGACAACTGAAATCCTCCAGGGTGTATTGGGGTGACACAAGAGAATAAAATTACACAGGTAATTGGAATGAAGTTGATGACATCGATCAAGATTTTCGTGGTTATCTTCCATGCAGCACAGTGTGACTTAAAGCTTAGTACAATGCTCAATTTAGCTGATGTGTTTGATGCTGATAAGGGATTGTCGTATTCTTGGATAGCCCTGTCTTACCCCAATAACAACATTTTCTTCAGCAAACTGGAAGTTAGGCAAGCTGAAATTTCAAGTTGTTTTACCTGAAGCAACAACTGGGTTTCTTTGTCTTCAGTGTGTTTTGAATTCCCTTTTACTACTGAAGGTGTTGCTGGGAGTGATAGAGTTCTGTTTGTGTAAATGTTTTTTAGCCAATTCTGAACCTCTGAAATACTGTATTTCAGGCCTTAATCCTTAAAGAACTGTCTGTTATCAGAGATCATGCTGGCAGTGCCTGTCTCAGAGAACTGGACAAGAGCAACAGTCCCCTGATCATGGCTCTCTGTGGTTCTAAAGGTAGGGACAGTTGGACTTGACATGTAGGTTGCTCACTCTTTCACTTATGTGAAACTTACTTGTTCCATCTGTATAGCATTTTTATACTGTCAGTTGTGCAAGTTCATGTCATAGCTGTTTCAAGTGGCTCAGTAAGTACAAGTTGGGTTTTTAGTTAAAATTAAGCTGATGTTCTGCTATTTATGTGTCTGGATTTTTAGTACAAGTTGCAAAACATCTTGTTGGAACTGCAGATGTTCTTAGGACTTAATTACTCAGTGAAAAGTTTTCAGTTGTGTTTCTACTTCAGGTATTTAGATCACATAGAAAAATCAGCAGTAAATGATACATTCAGAATTGGCACTAACATTTTGTAGAATCATGGAATTATTTGGAAGGGATTTTAAAGATCATCTAGTTCCAACCCTCCTGCCATGGGTTGGGATACCCCCTACCAGACCAGGATGGGACATCCACAGCTTCTCTGAGCAACCTGCTCCAGTGCCTCACCACCCTCGTAATAAAGATTTTCTTCCTGACGTCTAACCTAAACCTGCCCTCTGACAGTTTAAAGTCATTCCCCCTGTTCTATCACTACCTGCCCTTGTGTAAAGTCCCTCTCTGCCTTTCTTGAAGCCCCTCTTTAGGTACTGAAAGGTGCTATAAGGTCTCGAATTTTTGTGTGAGTTTTCATTTGTTTCCTTTAAGAATTTGAAGAAGTCACTTTTCCCTTTTCTATCTGTCTAATAATTTGTGGAAAGCCTCACAGTGACATGTTGTGTTCTAAAGAAATACTGAAATCTAAGACAAAGAATATATTAAGTGTATAGTTTTTGTGGGGGTGATGGGAGGCACTATTTGCAAACATACTCAGCAAATACAACTTCTGAGTTAGTGACTTAATTCTCTGGGACTTAATTTGTTCTAGGAGTCCTGGTAGACACTGAAACCTTTATGAAAAATATTGTTGAACTATGTTTATTTAAGAAATTGTGAAGCAAAATATGTGGGTTAGGATCATGGGCTATGTACAACACAATCTGTAATACAACCCTAGGTAATATAACAATGGGAGCTGAATAATGGCATGGATGTCTATGACCCAAAGGAAGAAAAAATGAAAAATTGTTGGCTGTATCATAGACTTAAGTGCATAAATGCACTTAAGACTTTGCGTAAATGCTGAAATTAATAGGACAAGTAGCAGAAAAGCTTCTCTAACTCTGCAGTTTTGTTTTGCTGAGCAGTTATGAGGCTAAGTAATTCACCTTCATGGAAGTGAAGATGGCTCATCAGGGAAGTAGTATATTCCTCATTTGTGAGTGAAGGGGTTTCTTTTTCTTTGTCTTTTCAGGCTCCTTCATTAACATATCCCAGATGATTGCTTGTGTAGGGCAGCAGGCTATCAGTGGGTCCCGTGTTCCTGATGGGTTTGAGAACAGGTCTTTGCCTCACTTTGAGAAGCATTCTAAGGTAATTCTGGGTGTTTACAACAGACTGTGAAGGAAAGTGAAACAAGTTTCCTTAAGCCATTTTGAGGGGAATGCATGATGAAACGTGTTGTCATGATATGCTGAAGGGAAAGGATCATATACGGTCAGTGTGAAATGTTTTGTGTGATTTGGGAGTTAACAACAGTGTTCTGAATTGCCGTAGGATGTCTAGTTAGCTTGACTTTTTACAGCTAAGCCTTGCTTTGACCTTTGTAATTTAGTAAAATTGAAGTGAGGTGATGATACATTTTTGGTTCTCTTGAGAGTCCTAAAAATAATTTGTTAAAGTTTCTCACTGGTATTACGTTTGACTGCACTAATACTTTCCTGGAAAGCTACTGAATGTGTGTTGGTGTCTTTATAAGCAGGTGAGAACATGCCAGATGAATAATTCTGATTATTCTTTTTCCACCAGGATAGGTACCGTGGGTTACTCTGTGTTTCATGTTTCAGTCCTACATGAAGCAATAATGACTCTCAAGCACTTGTTAATATATAATTCAGTGAGATTAATTTCTTTTTAAGTGCTGTTTGAAATCTAATGAACACTAGCGTAGGTTCTAGGTATGAGCCTATAGTCTAGTTTGTGTGCTAGCCAAGTGTCAGATGATAGCTATGACACATGTGACTAAATGTCCAAATTTCAACTTCTGACTTCTGTAACATACTGAATAAGTAGAAAAAGAAACTATACTTAATGGTTTAGATGAGAAGATAAAATGTAGCTCTAGCTTTTTTTCTGATTTAGAAAGCATTACCTGTTGTTAAATAACAACAAAAAGTGATTTTTTACTTGAAGGGATGCCTGCAAAATTTTCATTGGCAAGAACTTTCCTCAGGGGTGAGGGCAAACCATTCCAAAAAATTAATTTTTGCATTTTTAATTGCAGTTTCAATTTTTGCAAGTTTAATGGAAGTGTTGGTGTAGTGTTGGGAAAGAATAGCTAGAAATGTGACCAGGAGGAAGAAGCAACTCTAGTAAATTAGTTTGGAAGAACTAGGCAAGGATTTCTGAAACCTTTATTCAGGTCTAAAATACAAATATGGAACTTGAGAGCTAAGCAGAGCTGAGGTCATTGTCCTGTGTTGTTGAGGGTATTGGCTAACTTCCAGAAATAATTTTGATGACATGCACCATGTCTTTCTGTAACCTACAGAACACACATTGCATTTTAACTGTGTTTTTCCTACTCTTCCCTGCAGCTCCCTGCAGCAAAAGGCTTTGTTGCAAACAGCTTCTATTCTGGGTTGACTCCCACTGAATTTTTTTTCCACACAATGGCTGGTCGAGAAGGTCTGGTTGATACAGCTGTAAAAACAGCTGAAACTGGGTATATGCAGGTAACTGTCAGCACAGTGAGGGTTTTACCAGTCTGCGAAGATGTGCATATTTCTTATGTTCATCTTGAGGTGATGGATCAGGGAGAAGTGCAAATGTTGTGTGTTTTCAGTATTAAAGAGTAATTTATACTGGAAAATAAATGTCCCTCCAAAAAGCTTTTTGCTGTTATGTGCAGTCTTAAGATTTCTGTTCCAACATTTAAGAAGTATTTAAATTATAACCCTCTTCCCAGTGTAACAGACAGTAGAAAAGCCAAGATAATTTGGGGCTGGGAGCACATCCCAAGATACACAAGTAACTTTACCAAGACAGAAAAAAAACACCTTTTGGTATGTGTGACTAATTAGACTATTTGTCTCCAAAACTAATGGAATAATCTTGGCATTTATTTTATCTTACCTTTTTTTCAGTGAGAAAAAAATACCAGTTTATAGTCTAGTTTAGGTGATCTAATTTCCCTTCATGAAACAATGAAGTCCATCTTTCAAGTAAAAATGTTTTTAACCTAAAATGTTTCATAGCATGGGTTCTTTTTGGGAATGCAAAGATGGTAGTGAAGAGATTTCCCAATAGAAGGAGTTAATGTAGGAGAAGCAGATAACCCAGATGGAAAAATGGCTTTAGCAGGTGACCTCTTGGGTTTTTCTCAGGGAAAACAATCATTGAGTGGTTCTGCTTTCATATACAAAAAGTATTTTATCCCTTGAGAAATAAGTCTGCTTGGAAGAATATGAGTGTTGTGTCAAAAAAACCCACCCAAATAAATCCCTCAAACTACAATAGGTTTTTGCAGCTTAGCCTGAAGTCATTAGCTTTTCTATACAATGGAATTCTAAATGTGGAGTATTGTGTTATTGCATGAAATGTTATTGACTTTAATGTTCTGTGGAACGTACAGTAAAGCCTGAGGAGAAATTTATGATTTTAAGTAGGTTTTCATGCCTGCTCATCACTGTCAGATTTATTTCCGGAGTCTGGTTTCTGTCCTTCTTGTATTGCAAATCAACAGCTGTTTGTAAAAAGATCCATTTTACTTTCCTTGTACTTGTGGTTTTTTTTCTTTTCCCTTCAGAGACGTTTGGTGAAATCCCTTGAAGATCTCTGCTCACAGTATGATTTAACAGTCAGAAGTTCTACTGGTGACATTATACAGTTTATTTATGGAGGAGATGGCTTGGATCCTGCAGCTATGGAAGGGAAGGATGAACCACTGGAATTCAAGAGAGTTCTAGACAATATCAGGGTAAGAATTGCTGAAATCCTTATTGAAAGTGTGAAAATACTGTTAAGCATGGAGAAGACAGCAGTAAATAATGGGGGAAATAGTTTCACTGGAAGTATTTACTTTCAAACTGCTTTCTTTGAATGGTCCTGGTTAGTCTTTCAGGATGTGTATTCTAAGAGTAATAGGTATTTTTTCCAGTGGAACAGAGCAGTTTGTGTACAGAGACCAAACTGTGTATAAGCTGTGAAAAGTAACATTTCTTTCTGTGCTTGAACTTAGTTTTATGGCCTGATATCCAACTCACTAGATGAATGACTACTGGCTTATTTGGGTACTAGTTTGGTACATTGCACAGATTAATTCTCTATTAAATCAAGACATGGATGTTCCTTGAGTTCAGCTGGCTGGTGGTTGATCAATAATATTGTCATGCTTAAAGACTTGTGTTGTTCAGTTTTGGTTTTGTGGTTGGTTGGTTGGGGTGTCATAACCCCCTTCCCCCTGAAAAAAAGCTTTTTGCTGAAGCGACTGTTTAGATTTCTGTCATATGAGTGTAAAAAATGGGTAGAACTAGAAATGTCTGGGTGTATACCTACAGATTTGCAGAAATAAGTAGGAGTGGATGTGGTCCTTGTTTCCATAGTAGTCTAATATATAGTATAGTAAACCAAAACCAACCAAAAAAAACGCATTAAAGAAACTACAAAAAGACACAACCAGAAATAAAGAATGCTGTTATTTAGTTCTACGTATCTGTGTTCTGTGTCTTTGCAATGGAGCTTTTGTGCCTGTGCTGTCTGTGGATAAGTCGTGTTTTTTCCTCTGAAGGCTGTCTATCCGTGTCGGAGTGAACCAGCCCTTAGCAAAAATGAATTGGTGTTAACATCCGAGTCCATCATGAAGAAGAATGAATTTCTTTGCTGCCAAGACAGTTTTCTGCAGGTAATTACCTCATTTCCTTATCACACTGTGATTAACTTTTCCTTGTGATTTAAGGACAGGACTTCAGCCTGTCTGGAGACTACTTACATGGCTTTTAAGGGTGAGTGAAGGTTTACATGACTGCTTGTACTTTGAATTGTAAAATTAATTTTGTTTGAAAGAGCATCGGGAAATTTTAATATGTATGAGAGCAGCCATTCTCAAGACTTCCTTGAGAATCACTGATCAAAACTGTAGAATTAACCTTGCATCCATATAAAGCTGTTACCTTGATGAACCTTTTAATTACTGGCAGTGATGGAACAAGATTTATTTCATGACCTGTGTTTGAAGGGTTTCTTTGTAATAGATCAGTGTTTCAGAGCACAAGGTAAACCTGAATTGCCCTTCCATGGATAGAATCAAGTTGAAAAATAGTTGTATCCATATTTGACATATGCTGTAAATCTTGACTGCAAGTCTGAAGGAAAAGAAATCAAATATCAGAGTGGGGGAATAAAGCTGTTATTTGAAGTATACGTATTTTAAATCATATAATGAAAGCTTAATTGTTATTAATTTCAGAAGCATAGATATGGTTGCATCATAGTGGTAATTAGCTTAAGATTTTTAAGTTTTAGATTGTTACATTTTCTTCTTTCCTTTTTTTTCTGTTCATCCTTGAAGACATTAACTGAGACAGGTTATGAGAAATATAATGAGGTAATTGTAGCATGTGTGTGCACTGTGTGAGCATTAATGTTAGTGCTTTTTAGCTGAAGATGTGTGTATAGTGCTAAATTGATTAGCATATATACATTACTGCTTGTTAAATTATGGCATAGATGTTCATCACAATTATTTAACTTTCTTACTGTGAAAACTGTGACATGTTTATTAATTACCATTGCTAAATTCAAGGATTTTGAGGAAGCTTTCTTTCAGTACTTGACACTTTTTCCTAAAAGTTGTTCTTTCCATCTCTAGGGATATGAGCATGTTTTTCTGGTGTTTTCCTTTGCCTTCCTCCACTTTTCCATTCCAGAACAGAGATGCTTCTTACTGCTGTTATTTTAGTCAGAGGGTCCTCTAATGGGCTTATCCGCTCCAGTCCAGAACATAGTGTGTCTAAATAGCCAAAAAAAAGTCATTTTTCAGTGTTTTTTTTGAGATGATGGAATAGGAGTCTGGGAATGTGGTGCAAACACTGAAAAAGCTCAGCACACAGCCAGGCAGTGCTGTCATATGCAGAGTTGGCCTACTGGATCTGCCTGAAGTGGAGCAGGTTTTGGCTGAATCTCATGGCATTGTCTGTGAATTCCAGTGGCTTCTTCACTGCAAGGGTTGCCATACAAGCAGTGCTTCTGGTGTGTAGATGACCCCATTAACCTGGCTGCTGGGACACCTGACCAAACCCTGAACTGCCTTTTCACCTAAACAGCAAGGAGGAGCTGGCAAGGCCTGTGCTGAGCCACATCGTACTGAGCCCACTTGGTGCCTTTTTGTTAGTCTGGTCCGGAGTAAGACTTCGTGGATGTAGAAGTTGTGAAAAAAATCATTGGTTTTTTGAGTCCACTCTGAAAGTTACAGCTGTGCTCATAGAGTACAGTGGTGCACTAAAGATTGCAAATCCAGAGAGAGAGAGAGCTAGGCTCAGCAAACAGTGAGTTACGTTTTCATTCCATTTGTAGCAAAAATTAATCCGTAGTTTGGATCAACTGCCAACAGATACCTAAAAGCTGAGAAGAAGTAATTTCCTCTTTTAGGTCTTACACACGAGTAAAAGTTTGACAAAGAAATAAGTTTTCAGAGATTTATCTTCCACCTTTCTGACTGGTGCATGGAAATAACACATAATTTGAGTACCTTATTCAGAATTATGTATAATTGATTTATTGTCTTGACGTTGTTCGGACTTGTTTAATGTACTTGGTAACTCAGGCACTGTCAAAGAGGGAAAGTCTTCTGCAAGTCCTGCAACATTGCTTTTTTTTAGGCACTTGTAGTAAAAAGATTAACTTCTCTCCGTATTATTGCCTAAACACTTACTTTAGGAAATAAATCACGTTATCAATTTTTTGCAAATATATTGGGGTCAAAAGCCTTTAAAATGTTCAAATATGTTGTTTGTTAATAATGCTACCTACTGCAGGGCAAAAACAAGAATGCATCCTGTCATCCAGGTGGGGAAGCAACTATGAAGCATCCATTCCAGTAGCACTTCTGTTGTCTATTCATCCTTTTGAGCTTGGTTCTGGTACTCACAGAAAATAATGTACTCTCTGGAAATACCTTGAATGCCAGTAAGAATGTTATTTTGAGAGAGAATTCTGTTAAAATGTAATAGAAGTGTTTTCATAATGATTCTATGAACTCATCTGTGGGGAAAAAAAAAAAAAAAAAGAAAAAAAGGCAGTCCCGAACTCATCTGTGGGGGGGGAAAAAAAAGAAAAAAAGGCAGTCCCTCAGATACTTACTCAATTTTGCAATTAATTGTCAGATTGTGCTGGTTGCAAGGAGTCCAGTACCGAGTGCAGAAGAGGTGATGCTGTGTAGCCATCACTCTGTTTGCTGGGTAGTACTAATGGGGTGGAAAAAGGGTTAAAAGGACTCTAAAAAATCCAAGTTTGTTTCTCTATGGAGGCTTTCCTAAATCATGGTTGAAATGGATGGGAAGGATTTCCTCTTGCTTTTTGTTTAGATTTTGGTTTTGATAACCTTGTGTTATGGTAATAACTTGCACCAGGTCCATGTTTGTGGAAGAGTTTAATCATGACTTCTAGTGTACATGTATATATCCAACATGTAATGACCAAATGATCTTTTATAGAATAAAGGTTGGATATTTTTCTAACAGTATTCTTTCAGTTTATGTTCCAGTAAAGACTATTAGAACTTCTTTTGGGTAAGCCTGTTAAGAGAGTGAAAGGTCTATGCAGTATGACATGTTAAATGCAATTATCTTCAAGACCTCTCCACAGCTTTGACAAGTTATTTGAATCATATTCTAGGTCAAGACTGACATGTATATAATAGTTTTGAGGTTTTTTCTCAAAATGAAGTGCACCTCAAATCTCGGAAATCTATCTTCATATACTTGCTCTCTTGCCACAGTCTTTCCATTTTGACTATTTTGAATACTGAGGAAGGAGTGAGAATGTAGTTGTGTCAGTATCGCCAAAAAATAAGGATTTTGATTTGGCGTTTATGGTAAAGCAAGGCAGCTCCTGACAAAGGGAAGAATGATGAGGACTTTATTGATATTAGAAAGTTAATTAATTACTTTATTATAATATATTACTCTATACTGTATTACACTACATCTAAACTGAATCTGCACAAGCACTCAGCTCCACTCAAATGAACAGAATTTTGTGACTGTCAGCTGACAGTCATGACACACACACACACACATGGATTCAATCGGTCAATGAATCAAAACACACTATCTAATTACCAATTCTCTTCAGGTAAACAATATGCTACAATACATTCTACTTGTGAACAACAAGAGGAGCAGCAATTGAGATAAGAATTGTTTTTTTCTTTCTCTGAGGTCCCTTGCTGCGATTCCCAGAAATATCCTTGGGAAGTTGTGCCTTGCTTTTCTCTGTGAAAAAGAAATGTGGCCACAGGTGGTTTTTTTTAGTTTTTAAATAACTTTCAGTAAGTGGTGGGTAGAAAGGAAGCATCAACCCAAGTCAGGTATCTTCATCTGTCAGTGTGTGCTCAGCAAGGATGCTTTTATTCAGCATGGACCATAGTCCTCATGTACTGCTACTGAATTGTGGCTACGCCAAAGTGGATCTGGATTGCTAAACTCTAATGTATGTGTTTGTCTAAATTTTGATGTTCCTCTCTTCATACTGTGCATTATTAATTTATTGTAAATATTTGGAGCTTAAAATAAATAACTTACTCTTCAAGACTTCAATATGGAGACCATGTCTTTGCTTACTCTGGTTTTAATGTGATTTCAGGAAATTAAAAAATTCATCAAAGGTGTTTCTGAGAAGATAAAAAAAACTAGGGACAAGTATGGGATTAATGACAATGGCACAACAGAGGTAAATAATTTTAATAGGGTAATGATGTAGTTCTTTTCAATTTTCATAAGTTGTTGCTTTTCCAACTATTCCATTCTCTTTTCAGCCAAGAGTTTTATATCAGTTGGATAGGATTACTCCAACACAACTAGAGAAGTTTCTAGAGACTTGCAGAGACAAATACATGAGGTGAGTGTTTACCCTGCTGTGTTCTCAGTGCTGCTGTTTTGTTGGTAATGTCAGGGTGTATTTTTCTGTTTTTACTGTACAAATGTTAGTTCTGTTGTGAATGCAGTACGAAGAATTAGAAACAATTGGCTCCAATGGCATAAACATTGCAAGACAGAGGTAGGATGTAAAAAAAAAAAAAAATAAGTATCACTGTCCATGGTGGGCTTATTAAGGCAGTCTTGCACAAAAGTTCTAGAGACCTAACAGGTGGGATTTTTACATTTGTGTTGAGTCCAAATCAGATCCTTTCATTAACAAACTTTCGTATCCTTTTACATTGTAAAAAAATGCTTTGTTTCATTTTGTATTTCTTGAGCATGCAAAGCCACCTGCTTGTGTTTAAGCACCTTCTTTCTGAAGTTATAGTAATAGTAATCATACAAGCACAGTTTGGGAATTTAGCTGCTTACTGCTTTTATCCACAGACTGTGTTTTGACAGCAGATTCTTGTAAAAGCCAAAAGTGATAGGATTCAGAGTAAGGGAGGATATTGTTTAAACACTTGACATTCTTACACCCACTGCCAGACCTGTTTCCTTCCTCCCCCTCTTGCAGGAGGTTTTTGAAAACCTTCCATGAGTCCATGCAGAACAAAGTCCATATAGATGAATTTCAGTTTCATATGAATCTTGACAGCTATTCTTGATCCATACAGTCTGAGGAGTTACATCACACTTTGTTCTAAAATGTTCTTTGATCTCTTAGGCACTCATAGGATCCTTTTGTTTGTTACTCTTGGCTTCTACCAAGATAAGGCTAGTGTGGATGTTCTAATCTCTTTATCCATTGAGATTTATTTCATCTACTTAGACTGCTCAGATTTGGACATTCACGTGCAGCCATGGGTGATCTCTCCTTTGTGGCCTACCTGCATCAATTGTTTCCTAATCTTTTATTCTTCTAGAAAATTCATGTATATATTAAGTTCTTGACTATTTTAAAGCAATTGCCAGTTTTTTGCTTTCCCTTATTAGGACTACTTGTTTACGTTTTTCTTAAGTGTTTTTTGATGTGAATTATCACTTTTACTGTAATAAGTAAATGCTAGCATATGTGATTTCCCTGAAGGGAGAATGCTGGATCTAGTGCCTGATGCTTAGGAGGAGGAAGACAAGCATTTTGTAATCTGTAATGGAAGTTGTACTGCATCTGTGGAACGCTTATATGACAGGGCATCTTCTTGCATTGTATGAGATCAGAATTACAGTATTGGTGACCTTTCAACCTCTCTTGTTTTTTTTACGGAAATAATATATTAACAGACTTCTCATATATCTACCAGAATAGTTTCTGTTGTTGTTTGCTTGGGATCTTATACCTCATTCAGTTCCATGTATGTTTCTATATTTTTTTTCATCAGGGCACAGATGGAGCCTGGTTCTGCAGTAGGAGCTCTTTGTGCACAGAGCATTGGTGAGCCTGGCACACAGATGACTCTGAAGACTTTCCATTTTGCTGGTGTTGCTTCAATGAATATTACTTTGGGTGTGCCAAGAATCAAAGAAATCATTAATGCTTCAAAGGCTATTAGGTACAAATGTTGTTTTGATCTGTTGGGTTTTTTTTCCTTTGCCCAAGTGAAACCTGATGCATAAATTTGCAATACATGATAGCATTTCCCTGTCCTCAGTAATATACTAGACACCATTCAATGCAAATAGTCAAACAACAAAAATCTGATGTCTGCTCAACTGTGATACTTAAGCCCACAGGGAAAATCAAATAAAGGAAAGTGATTATTTGTTAAGTATGATATTTCCTTAGACTGCTCACCGATTGTGAAGTGCTTAGCAGTACTTGAGGCATACCTATTTCTAGGTATGCATGAAGATATACTTAAATAATACTAGAATAACATGTGACATGAGAACAGTCACTAGTACTTGTGTGTTTGCTTGTTTTACCAGCCTGAAGTACCTGAACAGTAATTTTTCTTAAATATACCTGAGGAAGCTTAAGATCTCTTTCGCTTGCTAAATATTGCTCTAGATAAGAGAGAAATTCCATAAGGGAGGCTGTAATTCAAGTTGCCATCTGTATTCCAGCTGAGCAATTTCCTACCTGGGTTTTCATGTGTGTGTGTTTATTCTTGTAGTACCCCTATTATAACAGCACAGTTGGACCAAGATGATGATCCTGATTTTGCCCGTCTGGTTAAAGGAAGAATTGAGAAAACTTTGTTAGGAGAGGTAAGAAAATTGTGTTATTGCTAATGCTTTAAATGTATGCATCAGCCACTTGCAATGGGGCATTTTAGCCATTTATGCATGCTAATTGTTTTGTCCTTATCTCTTAAAGATTTCTGAATATATTGAGGAAGTGTTTCTTCCAGATGACTGTTTCATCCTAGTGAAGCTGTCTTTAGAGCGCATTCGACTACTGAGGTTAGAGGTGAGTTGTTCAGTTCTTACACAGGTTATACCTTGGATACATTACAAAGGGTCTCTTAATCCTGTGTCAGTAATCACACCAGGGGAAGCTAAAAAAACGAAGTGAATAATAGGTGTTGTGTGGCTACATTGCGTCTGGAAGGGTCCCCTTTTTTTTTTCCTTGCAAAATGGATATTTTCCCCTTTATTTGGAAGTGAGAGAACATACATTTGTGTTTTTCTAAACACAGGGATGCCATTTCTGTCCATTGGTTAATGCACAGGCTGGTACCCTCAGCATAGGATACTGTTTCATGCAATTTATAACACTAATTTAGAAGAGAATACCTGGGGGGGGGCGGTCCTTAAGCTTTCCCTTTTTATTGTCTGTACAAGATTGCTGCATTTGTTTGAGCACGTTGATACCTGCTGCGATAAGCCTGATGTTTGCTGGTTGCCTTTTGGCTCAGGTGAATGCCGAGACTGTGCGCTACTCGATTTGCGTCTCTAAACTCAGAGTGAAGCCTGGGGATGTTGCTGTCCATGGAGAAGCAGTTGTATGTGTGACCCCTCGTGAAAATAGCAAGAGTTCCATGTATTATGTATTGCAGTCCCTCAAGGAAGAGCTGCCAAAGGTAAAAGCCAAGGCTGTCTCATGCTGTTGTGGGAGGTAATCAGCAGTAATAATTTGTTCCATGGTGGCAAGATGAAATAATTCTTGCCAGTATTGACAGTGATAATAGGCTGGGTCAGTAACTCTGATATTGTGATGGTACTGCCTTGCTGTTGAAACTAAGCTATCCTTTACTAATATTTGTAAATAAAATGGAAGCTCTGATACTTACCTTACAACATTTATTGAAGCATTCCAAGTGCATGAGTATGAAGTAGTCACATCTGCTTTCAGCTGTATGTAAAATTGAACCACATGACAGTATCTGGCATTTTTTCAGCTTTCTGTGAGGAGACTCTAGATTCTAAAAACAGAGAGAAATGAACCTTTATTGTTAGCAGCTTGCCCTTTTATTTCTATGGGTCTGCCACCATTCAGACACCCAAACGAGAGTTTGGGAATATGTGACATAAAATATAAAATGTAGCTAGTGAGTAAGGTTTATAGTACAGTGTCAGTTTTACACTAGTGTATTCAAGAGCAAGAAATCTCACTCATATGTTTTTTGAGTGAGCCTTTACTCCACATACTGGACCTTCTCAGTAGGTTTGAATGCTTGTGTTACCCTTATATACTGTGTTACTGTATACGTCAAAGTTACTAGGGCTTTTTTGTTTTGCGAAGGTTGTAGTGCAAGGCATACCAGAGGTTTCCCGAGCTGTCATTCATGTCGATGAACAAAGTGGAAAGGAAAAATACAAACTTCTGGTTGAAGGTGATAATCTGCGAGCTGTTATGGCTACTCATGGAGTGAAAGGAACAAAAACATCCTCTAACAACACTTATGAGGTAATGTCTAAATGGATGCTGTGGGATTTTCCCCATAGCATCTTTATTACAAGTGCTTGTTTGTGCTCAGATGCAGCAGTTGATAGGAAATGAAGCCTGATTCCACTAATACGTGTCAGAATGCATTAACACAAGAGAATAATTCACTGACAGCACTGTTCACCACAAAGAAGCTGTTTCTATGAATACCTTAGAAACTGAGATGTTTAAAAGGGTAGTCATAGAAATGGAATATCAATATGCCATCAGATGGTATTTATTTCAGGAATGTACTTGCTCCAAGCACTTGGTTCTTCATTCATGTAACATGCAACAATCATGTAACAATCTCTTGTTTAGGTAGAGAAAACTCTGGGAATTGAAGCCGCTCGGACGACCATTATCAATGAGATTCAATACACGATGGTGAACCATGGCATGAGCATTGACAGGAGACATGTCATGTTATTGTCTGATCTAATGACTTACAAGGTTTGTACTATGGTTTTTCTAAATGTTACATTGGCCTGTTTAAACAAGTTAATTTTATCATGTTTGACAAGGGTGGGTGAGCTCAGGAGATGGAAATTCATTCTGGGATTAAAGAATTCCAAGTTGTACTGACCTAATACTGTTATTTGTGTTTTACACAAAATGCTTATTACTTTAGTTCTTTGGGGGAGGGCGGATCTATTTTGACTGAGAACAAATTGATATAATGAGTGGGGATTGATAATTTCATAATTGAAAATAAGAATCTTAAAAATGATGGTGTGAAAAACAACTGGGTAGTCATGCATGCAGTTGAAGGCTTGCTGTGCAGAAAACCCCACGGGGAGTGGTTTGTAACAGCTGCACCATATGTGAGAGGCGAAGGATACAGACATTACACATAGAATCAGCTGACATGAACAGTCTTACACAACATGTTAGTACAAAATCATCTGCTCTTTACTGATTGATTTTCTTTCTTTCAAATCCAATATGGTTTTTAGAGTTGAGTGCCTTTAATGAAGTAAGATTTTGTAATTTGCCTGCCAGAGTGCAAGGGTTTAATTTGGGTTAAATGGATGGAGTTCTGATTTGTTCCCAAACTGCAGAGGTTTGTTGTACTGAGCAGCAGCAGTCCCCAGGGCTGTGACCCTGTGAAGCTGCAGCACAGCAATAGAAAAGGGCATCAGAGTGCCATGTTTTCAGCTTGGTGGGTTCCGACCATGCATTCTTTTGCCTGTACTTCTGACTGTGTGGAATCTGATACAATTAGGATGTTTCTAAGAAATACATGCACAAACAAGTCTAGTTAGTTTAAAAAGCAAATGGTTTTGTTTTTGTTTTTTTTTCTGGAGAGTGAAAAAATGAAGATTTAGCATCTTCTGTAGTCTCCTGGCAGCTGAGGTCAGATTTATCTGTAGATAATAGGCAGTAGATTCAGCATAGTGCTCTCAGACCCCACTGAAGTTTGTAGCTCAGCAGCCAGTTTATAATTGTGGGGTTTTTTTCTCATGGCCATGTTTCAATTTTTTCAATACTCAAGATCTATTCAAGAGCTATTAACCATTTATAGCAGCTTATATTGTATATGAAGTATGACTTTTGTTTTATGTAAATATTCTTTACTACCAAGCTATTAACCTTCAGGATGTTCAACTGAATCAGTGTATTATGACAATACTGTATTGTAGATAGTATATTTATTTATTTACTCAGGCTTACTCTTTGGGTTTTTCCATGAATCAAGGGTGAAGTTCTGGGGATTACCAGGTTTGGACTGGCAAAAATGAAGGAAAGTGTGTTGATGCTGGCTTCTTTTGAAAAGACTGCGGACCATCTCTTTGATGCTGCCTACTTTGGACAGAAGGATTCTGTTTGTGGTAGGTATTGCAGTCTGTTGCAGTTTGTGGTCCTTAGCCAGCATCTGTAAAACCTCTTCAAATCATTGGAGTTTTGTCTTTGTTAAGTTTCCTTTTCAGCTGGTCAGAAATTTCTTTTTAAATGTATCTGTTCCTGAGTTTTAAATTTATCAACAGCCACTGAATCATCTTAGTGAGTTCATGAAAGAATCTGGTAAATTTTGAAAATACATGGCTACATATGCACAAGTGTATGCGTGCCCACATACAAACAGCAAACAGAAAATGCAGTCAATGAGTTCTGGCATTCTGTTTGTCTCTTTGTTTTGTATTTTTGCTATGTGCTCTAATATTTGGAATTGAAAATATTTTGGGGTTTTTGTAGTACCTTTGCCCCCATTCTTTTCAGATATTCTTCTCCTTTAAACTACATGTATTTTGGGACTGAATTGTTAAGAAGTCTAATAGGTTAAATGGAGAAAAGAAGTAAAGCAAGTTTCACTCTTTTCAAGATCTGTTTATGCAATGGCTGCCCTCCTGGAGTTGGAATTGGGAGTTTCTGGGTACTAATGAAATGTAGAAATATGCATGTGTTATGCAAAAGTTAACTAGTTAAGTAGATATACTTGTGTGTATATCTAGTCTTAGTGTAGCCAGTTTCAAACAATGCTTTGTGCACAGTATTTTCTGAATCTTCATTCGTATACATTCCAATTGTGAATCAAGTCAGAATTTTAAGCAAATTTATTTCATCCTTTCTGCATTCAAATGTACAGCTATTTATTGTAACCTTCTTAAACGTTTATGTGAAGGACGAGCTAGTTATACTCCTGAGAACGTGCAAAAATGTCATTTAGGCCATAACAGCATGCTGAGAGAGAAACACTGGCATCTAAGAGCTTGCTTTGAATGTGGAACGTTCTTTGGAAAAGTCGTGCACATTGGTAGAGGTGGAATATAAATGTGTCAGCACAGTGCAGTGAAAATGTTATAACCATCAAAAATTGCTGGGACAGACTCAATCTTTCACTTCAAAACAAGCACTTTTTCACTGGTGAAAATGCCAGGAGCGTTACAGCTCAAGTAGTTCTGTGCCTTTCTCACTGGGAACTTGGGAGGTTGCAAGGGAACCCTGCCAGGTTTGACTGAAGCCTTAGCACTGAGTCAGAGAATGAACATGAAGTAAGTTTGCCTTGCATCTTCTGCTGTGAGCACTGCATGGGACATGTCTTCTCTAAAAACAAACCTTCTGAAGGGTTTTCATTACTGGAGAAGATGTTTAGGTTAGGTTGAGTTTTTCCTGTAGAATTTAACACTGTTTAAGTAACCTACTGTTCTGATGACCATAACATTTAACTTTGTCTAGTGAAGAGGCCTTGGTTCTTACATGTCAAGTCCAATGATTTGTAGGCAACACAAAACAGAATGGGCAAATGAAAGTAATTTTGAAAATCCTTACTGTTCAAATGTTCACTGTGTTTGTTTGGTTTTTTTCTAGGTGTTTCTGAGTGCATCATCATGGGAATTCCAATGAATATTGGAACAGGTCTCTTTAAACTGTTACACAAAGCGGACAAAGAGTCAACCCCTCCCAGGCGGCCTCTGATATTTGATCATAATGAATTTCATATTCCCATTGTTACATAGCACTTGGACAGAAAACAAGATAGCAAACCAAGAAATAGTAAGCAAACATTACTTAAATTAAGCAAAATGTATTATTGGTTCTATGTGTCTCAGTAGAAGTGAATTGGTAAGTGAAATTATATCAAAAGAATTGCCCAATTGTTCACCACCTGTGGTTAGTACAGATCCTGAAAGGAGAGAGTGCACCAGAGAGTGGAAACACTTTTAAAGTGGATTTCACCTGATAACTTTTTCATGTGATAGTGTTAGCTTTTTCTGTTACCCTTAGTGGGTGCAAGCTGTTATGCAATACTGTTAACTCAGTATTTATTTAAGATGTATTCAGTTTTTATTAAAAAACAAAAAGAAAATTGCAAGAGAGTTCTGTGAGCTTGCCCAGAGTGCTTTTGGAAGGGTTCTGTCAGCAGGAGCTGCAGAGGTCAGTGTACAGCTTTTAAGAACAGGAACTTGAGAAAGCTGGAACTGAGTCTGTGATTAATTCTTCGTGAGTTCAGGAGCACTGTTCAAAGTGTTTGAAATATTTGCTCTTTGCTTTTGGTAGTTTTAATGGGGTTTTTTTTATCCCAAATAATTATCCAGTAAATTATTTTCCTCCCCAGGATTCTGTTTTGGGACCGTATCTACAAGAAGATGTACATTGTGGATGCTACTAAATTCTGAGAAGACTGCTGTAAGGCTACTGCAAATGATAGATGGCTTTTCATATGACAGCAACTGTCTTAACTGCTGGAATCAGTAACTTACAGAAGTCCTAGTTTGGGGAAGGTTTCCTAATTGAGCAGCATCATCTGAGCAATCTACTTTGACTTTATCTAAAGTAGAAAATGAAGGGGATACTGTTTTTATGCATTGCCAGGAAATAATTTGGAAGTATTTTTAGCTTTAGTGCACTAAAGCAGCTATCAGAATGAATATAGATTTCAAATCATTTCAGTGTAGTATGTTTAAATTTATTGTGGTGCTATGGAGGGAAAGTATCTTAATGTTTTCTCAGCAGTGTTTGGATACTCAGTGTGCTCATGACATGGGTCAAGGTTGGAGAGACATGAAGTAGAGAAAGAAGCTGAAGTTGTGCCCTCATGAAGAAAAAGCAGGCTGCTGAGTATTCTGGCATTTGAAAATGACCAAGTTTGTGCTGCAGTTGGTATTTATGTCCACCAAAAGTGTAAGGCTACATTCAGAGACTAAATCTATTGGTTTAAGACTTCAGGTGTCTGTTTTTTAATTCATCCTCCATGCAGACAAGATGTCATATGAAATTCAACATAGCTATTCTCAAATGTTGTATTTTCAGTGTGATGCTAAGATCCACATTTCCCTAGATTTTGGCAGGGTGAAAATAGAGAATGTACTGCACTTATTATCTGCTCTAAAAGTTACATATATTTCACTATCTCTGTTTTAGCAATAGAAATTTTAGAATAAATTAAAGTTTTCTTTGTGATCTCAGTGAGATTGCTGCTTACTCATTTGTCTGTTTCTTTGTCAAGATGTAAATTTAACATGGGTAATGGCTTCATGGAGAGAAAGCCCATAAACCTTTCCTGTGATTAAGTACTTTGTTTTATCATAGGAAATTCTACTGATAGTGCTTGACATTTTTGTGAATAAAGATTCTTTTCAAGGTCTAAATGGGTACTGGAACAAATAACCACATCTTTTTCAGTTTTTTGGTTGGTTGGGTTTTTTATTTGGTTCACTTTGGGTTTTTTGGTTGGTTGGGGGCAAGGTTTGGCTTTGTTTGGTTTTGTGTTGTTGTAAATATAGAAAAATGAGTTATTTAAATGCTGGCTTCGCTCTTGTATGTTTTAAAATTAAGACTAAAATTACATCTTTTATCGTTTTCTTAAATATGACAATAAAAAGAGGCAGAGGTAAAGAACGTGTGAACCTTGTGTTTATTTATGGGCGTATTATATTTCTGCACAATTTATTTATGGATGAGCTGACTTCCATTTCTTCGTGTAGTTAGTAAGACAGTAGATAATTATTAAGCTTAAATCTCAGGTATTTACAACATAAATGAATAAGTAATATAAAACCTGTCTTGCTTAAAGCCACTATGTCTTGTCCTTAGAGCATGCTCAGAGCCTCATGAGTGTTTCAACCAAAAATAGATTGTTTACAAGAGCACTCTGAATTAGTAATTATTGTTTGAGCTCTCTGTGCACTCAGTAAACAAATTAGCTGTTGGATTTTACTTGTAAGCATCTTTTTTTAAGCATCAGTTTTAACAGTCAGGAAATGGAAGTTTGGAATATTAAAATTTGCATTTTGATTAAAATTTTTAGCTTTAGTTTGGCTTTAACTTTTTTAAAATAAATAATATTTTTTACCTTTTTCTCTATTTTCCAATTAATGTGCGAATTGAAATTAGTTAAGTGTAAATTTTGAAGAAATAAATTTGTTTTTGCATAACCATATCCTGCTTTCTCATAATCTTCATTTTTTCCATCTGTTTTAAAACAAATTTAAACTTCTTAATAAATGAAGTACTTTCTTGGTGTGTTTGTCAGGAAACTACTTCACACGTGTCTCTTATCTGCAGAGAGAGAAGAAAACAGCCGCATGTGCTAAATAGGTTTTCTGTTATGACTGTGGAAAGCTGGAAGTAAATCCAGAACTGTGCTGCTTTGGTCTTCAGTAACTTAAAGAAATTTAGTATAGAGGGCTATTCCCTTTTTTGTTTATCTATGCTTAAAGAAAAAAGCATAATGAATGCTGTGTTTTATAAATGAACTACAAGTAGGAAAAAATTTGGCTGTTTCAGGACAAATATTTCTTGATGTCTGAGCATGTGCCACTGTTTCAGTAGAAGCTGAAGGAATCACTGCAACAGGAATTCCTCAATTTTGTATTACTGTGCCTGTAGACAGGAATGTCTTCAGAAGCCTATAGCAAACAGGATACAGATTTTCATAGTATTTGCATATTTGCCTAAATTATTCTGTGCAGGTAACTAATCTGTCTTCCAAGTGGTTGGCTAAGCTTTGTATTCAGACCTAGGAAAGTGTGTTGGTAATTCAATATGTTAAAAAAAAAATTGGCTTATTATATTGTCTAAGAACAGAAAAAACTAAAAGGGACCAAAGTAAAAGATATGTTAATATTTTAATGTACCAATACATAGCAGATTATTTTGGATATAAATGCATAGCAAGTTTATCTTGAAGAATGAACATCAAAATCTCACAGGCCAATCCAAAAAACTCATGGAAAATAAACAAGCCCCGCTGCTTTTCTGTTTCAGTGCTTGTGGAAATGAATCAAAGTTTCTTGTGACTGATAAAATGAAAATTGTATAACATTCCTTCTAATGGAATTAGATCATACTGTCATCTCCCACTAGAGAGCAGCGTTTTCTTTTGAGAAAACACGTGTTGGGTAGCTTCGTTATTTTTTCTATTAAAAATGGGGTTTTTGCAATATCAGGACTGAAATGTAACTGTGAGAGGGAAAAATATCTGTTAAAATGATGTACATAAGGAAGGGGAAGAAGGGACTCTATTTTCTTTAGAGGGAGAGAGCAGAGTCCACATATGCTTTTTGATTAATTAGTAAAATTTTCACTTGTATATCATTTGTCTATCTGGCTTAAACAAACAACCAAAAAGCAGTACTTCAGTGAAGGCTGTAGTCATTCCCAAAAGAATGTGAGTTGCTCCTGTGAAGTGATAGACCAGGAGTCTGCAGTGAGTAGGGGTATGTCTTTTACAGCAGCATTTTCCATGCAGCCGAGACTGTTCCAATCTGCATCCAGTCTCCAGCAGGCACTGAAATGCAGCTCCCAGAGCTGCTCTGAAGCGTGAAGCTCTGGCAGCTGCCTCGGGAGAGTCTCACATCCTTCAGCTGCTGCAGAACTCCAAGGCAAGGCTGCATTTAAAACAATTGAAGGTGATGCTATCGATGTAAGTGACCAATGGTTAGGACTGGAAATAATATGAAACGTGCTCTTCTCTGTGTGTAGAGACAGCTGCAACCAGCAGGATTTATGGAAGATGAATTCCACTTCTGAATGTCTGAAAGCGACAAGGGTGCCTGTAGTTTGTTAGTTTCTGTTGTATTTGTGAGAGCCTGGCATTTGTTGGCTGTGCTTAGGGGTTCTGTGGGCCTTGAGCTGCTCTGCTTTAACCACTACTGTTATTTCTGTGTGCATCATATGGCAGAAGATGTTTCTTCATCCAAAAGGTCTGTCCTGTGAGTCCAAGCCTTCAGGATCAGGAATAATTGCATGCTCCTTTTGGAAGCAAGGACAGTAGATAGGGCTGATGTTGTACAGGAATATGGTGGTTTCTGCAGGGGTTGAGGATAGAAGGAAGAAAGCTGAAAAGACAGGAAATGGAGAAATAAGCAAGCCTGTATGGAAGCAGAGTAGAAATTCAGGTCTGCTTGGGGAAGAAACAGAGATGGTAGCTGGGTAAAGTGCCACACAGATATTCATCATCTCTTTAAGGAGTCCTAGTGAAGTAATGGAAATAGCTGGGAAAGGGACAGGTATTTATTCATTCCTGAGAACTAAGATTTTGTCATTTGTTCTGGGGATTGCTCTTAGTGGCTGTGACAAATGATAGTTAAATCAGCATACATTTTGTAGATGACTGTTAATAATGAGCAGTAACCCTGAATTAATTCCTTCAGGTGTTGTATCTGTTTAGTTAGAAAGCTCTTTCAACCAACTGTGCATAATTACAGCTGCTGAACTACAGGATTGCTACTGTTAAATGTAAAAACTGCTGTTCCTGATGGGTTCTGGTACAGCTCATGTGGAAGATTGTGACTATAATCAGCAGGAAAACAGGAATCTTTTAAAATGTGATGATACTTGCAGTTAGATCAGAAATATTCCTAGAAAATCCTTAGCTGAGGTCTTTTTAATAATATTTAAGTTGTGCCACTGGGACAATAGACAGAAATTACATCAATTACTTTCAATTACAAATTACATCAGTTCCTTTTGTGTGTCTCTTCCTAGAAGAGAGGTGACAACATCTGTGAAGAGCAGGCTGGTAGTTGAAGGAA